AGTTCATGGATGTTTCAGAGGTACGCAGATCACAGGGCGCCAAAAATAATAATAAAGGTCAGGTGGGATGCAAAAAAAGAGAGATACAGGGGGGTCAATCAAAAAGCCGCGCACCCAATATCCCGGGGCCCCCTTCGGAATCTTGAAAAAGATGTCAAAAGTACCTATCTATCCCGGAGAACAGTTCGCGCAGATCTAGAACACAAACCAGCAACTCAGATTGATTTCTAATTATAATTTATCCATATGCATGTGTCATATCATGATTTCAAGCTTGGTAGTCGTGATGCTGTGATGTCTATTACGAAGCACTTTATACCTCCGTATAAACTGGAGCCTTTGTTGAAGAGAGTTATAACTATCCCAAAACTGACCGTGATCGACCAGATCCTTCGGTGCCAGCTTCTTTTTTCGGCTTCGCACTGGTCGCTAGCACATGCGACATGAAGCCATGACATCTTCACATTTATGTCAGAGCTCCCGCGGAACTCGGGAGGTGGTGGCGGGCTTGCCATCGACTCGACGAGATAAGTACTCAGTCCACGGTGGCTTCCTCGCCTCGCATAATTTGCACGACCAGCTCATCGGAGATACCGGGGGTGGGTGGAATTATGTATATGAGAGGGGGAAGGTGATTGGATTGGGCTCGCGCTGGGTGGCTGGGACGGTTAGTTCTAGGCTCGTTGGTACTTTTTTTGGATGTGTATTTTCCTTGATCTTGGGTTGAATCTAGGGGCTTATTTGGATCTGGATTGTGTTGAGATTGTGCTACTGAGTACACATTACTATCTACTATGTTGTAGGAAAGGGATCACGTTCCGTTGGAGGGCCTCATTATGACACTATACGAGTAATTCTTACATGGATCTGGCCTGGGTTATGCATGTTTTCATCATGATTTTGCCTTCGCTTATATTTTGCCATATTCCAATAGTGGTAGTTGCCTGAAGGATGAGGATTCGGAGCGCAGATCTTAGCACTGAAGGAATGGTATCCCGCTGATGTCATTCGCATAATTGTGTTTTCCTCGCTTGGAGTTATGCTTATTTCCATCAAGTGATGTGTCAGAGTTGCAATAGTGCCATAAGAGTCTTATACATAGTACTCCGTAGTCCTGGGGTTTACCAGCTCGGGTGTCCACAGTAGTCATGTGGCAGCTGCACATGACCGGCGCACATGATCCGGGGGTGGAGCCGCTGGAATTTTGATGCCCGAGATCCATTCCTATATTGCACGTCTTCTATCTTCAATTCTCTTCTTATATCTCATTTCATCTTTGGATGTTACTATACACGATATCGATAATATTACCTAAGAGCCCTGGGAATGTGGGACTTGACGGTTCAGGACAGGGTCTCAGATAATGACGTATGCACAACCTTCCTCTCCAATTTTGAACGGGTGTGGGGATGAAGACTTTTTCCTCCTAAAACGCCCGACAACACCTCCATCCTACGAACGTCTCCAGTGTTTCCGGTCATACCCGAGTCGTGGGGCTCATTTACTGTTAGAGAATAAAGATCCGAGAACGAACTAACATGGGTATAACAAAGCTCATGTCAAATTGAGTATATGTACTCTGTGCAAACCGAGGAAAGCCACCTTGGCACACTATAATCATACTTTTATATCACAAGCCTCTTTCTTCAGTTCCGGTCCAATGACAGCAAAACAGCTAAGGTGATACAAGAGCCTCTTCTCCAGCCATCACCAAATTCTATACATACATTGTGTGGTCCAGCCTCCTTCTCCAGAACCCACTTGCCCGGTTAGGGCTAAATCTCATTTCCGGCCAGATGAGTCTTCTTGATCTCAGCTTCCAACAGGCCAAAAGGTGGAGATCGCAGTGGGTCACTCACAACCCAGGGACACGCATGATTCGCTCCCAATTTTTTCGCGCGTCTCACCGGTACTGAAAGCTTTTAACTGACTGTACACGTGTGACAGCTTTGGCTCCGCATTTCCTATTTGGGACTTCATACAACTTGTTATGTTATAGGTATCGCGTACCAACCCCCACGGACCGCTCCACGATCAAGGCTGTTTGAGTCAAGAAAAAGTGGATATCGCCTTCTTGATGCAAGACTGACGCCTAACTGGCTCCACGGGTTGGTGATATGCGCCCGACGTACAATCGGCAAGCCGATGCAGCATGCAGCGTGCAGTATGTTCAGTAGAAGCTATGAAATGCGAGGATATCACGCCCATCAGCTAGAAATGGAGGGCAATTTGGTTGAAAGATTGAGACGTTTTGCAACCAGCTTTGGTCGTTTTGGCTTGGCTCTTTGATGACTGAGGCGAATCCTAGACACGCAAGAATCTTTGTCGACTTCTTGATCGTCCTCCACTACGAAGCGATCGTCTCAAACATGACCCATACAACCCCTGTCCAGGCCTTTTGAGCTCTAGAACAGAGCCGATCTTTGTTTTGGTGCAAAGATATTTTAAAGTTAGCCCATACTTTACTGACTTGATATATCCTCAATTCAGGGGGATATTTTGGTCATTTCTAGATTAGTCCTGTACAAATTATCTACATACGAAGTACTGTCCCAATGACTTCATGAAATTTTCTTTACACGACATGCCGCGTTTCGTGGGCCGAGTAAAATGCATCACTTTGACTATTACTGTTCGGCGAAATCCCGAATGAGGCGAGATTGGCCAGAATGTATGCATTTTCCATGGGCCAAAAAAGGAACCCAGACTGAACCGTGCAAAAACCCAATTACAATACCTATGATTGGCCAAATCATTATTCTAGGCCCTCCGGTGGAGAGTGGTCACGTGTATCAGCTCAGGAGGAGCTCTGTACTCCGAAACCCCGCAAGTTACCAAATCCTATGTCAGATGAATTAATATGACTATGTAGTATAGTTAAGGACATATTATACGGCAAATTGAATTCTACACGGAGTAGAAATGCCGATATAATGCTCAACCCATCAAATTTCAAGCTATGCCCATGGTCAAACGCGCCAACACCCACGGAAGGCCGTGCGAGATTCTGGAAGGCTTCTGGAAGGGCGATCCGGTTGGTCGGTGAGTTCCATGTCCGATTCACACCTTTCCGCTTTGGGTGTATTCATTACTGTACTGTATTTCCGTCTTACATTACATTATATACAGCGGAAAGCTCAGTACCGCGGAGCGGAGCTCCCATACTTCCTTACCATACAATTGACCGAGGCTCAAATCTACTTGTAGTACCCTGATGCGGTCTCTGGATCCTTGAGTACATACGACATTTTACTTTAGAACAGCTTTTATTTTGAATCGGCTCGGCCGTTAGATTCCAAGGATCTAGGCAGCCATGTTGAAATACTATATCTAAAACGGAATATCTTCTAACTCCCCGAGGGCTTGGGCTAGATACCGGTGTCCGACTAGCGGCAGCCACACACAGGGTTTATGCACAGAATACAACGGTAGAGATCCCACTGTACATGTGACTTCCAGACAGCTTTCGCTTAAAACCATTTCCTTCAATCATGTTTTGCCTTTTGTAGCCACAGTGATGTGGGATTTGAAGGTTTCCGCTAGATCAAGGTGTGAATTCACTCTGTATTTGTTACATACATAGTTACATGTGTCTCGTCGCATGCAATTTTCAGACTTAGATCCACTCCTGGAGTTTTCTTGATTAATTTACCCAAATGTCGGGGTAAACACGGAAAAACTCATCCGATATCTGGGCATTCAAAAAGTTCGGTAGAGTCCGAATCCGAAATATGACTTGCCAAAAAGAATCCAAGATAGCCGTTATGTCTAGATGTTGTATTCCGGCTAATGTGTACCCTTGGCGAAGGAGCACTTGCATGGGGTTCTAGAAACTCTCTAAAGCGAACCCCTCATCTTCTCCGCGCAACGCGGACCGACCGCTGTCCCTGACTGGCCGTTGAGTATATTGCGCTGAGCTTGTTGCGCCCCGTCGGGTCGTATTACTCTCGGTGAGGGTTTATCTTTTCTCTTATATTGGTATAGCGTTGGCCAGGGCCGCTTATTAATAGGGATATCCTCCGGGGATGGATGTGGGAGATAAGGCGCGTGCCGCGCTCTGTGTATCTGCTCTGCTGGCAGATTGGAAGTCGCCTTCTGGTTTTTCTGATGGCTTTTATTTTATGTTTTCTGGATTGGTGATGTGTAGGTAGATTATTGCCTGTTAATGTTGGTACTTGATGATTTTGTTTTGCTTCCTGTTGTGGCTTCGGGCAGATGGTGTGCTCTTAAGACTGAACATTACAGTATTGGATTGCAATTTGGGCGTGAAGTGACGAAGGCTATAGTTGAAATGATATTGAATCTGAGGATCCTGCAGTGGTAATCATTATTAGTCTAGCGAACTACCCAGGAACTTGTACCTGTGAGCGTTGTACAGCATACCATGTACGCGATAATGAATACTCCGTACTGGACTTGGATTGAGCGACAGGGGAGATCGACATTGTGCTCCATATCAGAAACCCTACGAACATTCTAGTCTTCAACTAAAACCCATAAATCGATTCATTGTGACTAAAATTATGACTCGAAATGACTGGAGCGTGTGTGAGTCAAGTCGAATGTGCAGGCGAATGAGGTCATCGGTTCCGCCTTGAGTCTTGGCATTAAACTGCCAGCAAAACTGTAAACAACTATAACTTCTTGTATAGCTTCATATTCTCAGACTTTACGATATACCACTGCTTATTTGCACCCTACTTTGACGTTTGCTAATTTGACATCACGTGGCTGTATCTCTTTTTTGCCGTTTTTCTCCTCCCGTGTGTTTTATTTTTGCTTAGCGCCGTGACCTTCGATTCGAAGATCACTACAGGAATTCAGACGGTCGCACATCTCGGCTTACTTACTGCGCAGATCTGGTCCTGTCGATCTCCTCACAGTCACCCGATCTCTGCGTTGGCAGTATTGGCCGTCCGCGTCACCTCCCAGGTCGCTCAGAACCCAGTCATTCCATTCTGGATCGTCTTTCGAAGGTCGGGCCGAGTCTCAGTTTCAGCATGGAGAATAGGTCATTTGACAACAATGCGGGTCCAGCACCCCAGATCCCAGGTAAGATAAGTACAATTCTGTTATTGGCGCGTAAACTCCATCTAGCCGGAGGCTTTTGTCCCAATCAATTCCATGAGATCTACTTGCGCGGATTATCGGGACTCTCTCTACTACAGGCTTTCGTATTTTCAGCCCCCCTGTTGCATGCCCATGCACCACATGCTGCATCAGCCACAAAGCCTATCAATTCCCATGTTATCTCCTCCGATGGCTCCGTTGGTGTGCAGGGTGCTCGGTCTGCCAATACGCCAATATGCCAGGATCGGACTTGGTGGCTCATAACCTTTTTGATCACACGCTCATGATGCTTTTGTTAAACAGGTACAGAGTTGCCATCCTCTTTGACAACTGATGAGTTGTCAGCGGCCCGGTCGCATGGCGTTGCACCCACCGATGAGACAAGTGCTGCTCGCCAGTCATCGACTCGGCGGCAGAAATGTCGCTTTTTCAAATCCAAAAAGGGTAAGTCTGCACTCTGAGTTTCTGTCTGTAAGGGCTCTTTGCCTATTTTGTCACTGCAATGGTAGACGCGTCATTGAATACGGACCGTGTGCCACGAACGGGCCATTTTGGGAATGTTTGTACACAACATGGGCCATGTGCACCCAAAGGGTCAATGATACTGAGCTATGACTCGAATTGCATGATTGTCCTGTGCCCTAATCTTTTGCGCATGTATTCTTGGCGGTGGTCGTTTACTGGGAAGGCGATGTGTCGTTAAGGTCATATGCTAACATTGTTCCAGGATGCCGAATGGGAGAAGCATGTCCGTTTCTACATGATGCCTCGACTGTTGAGGCTAAGAAAACATCATCGGAGCAGCAGAAACCAACCCAATCTTCGGGAAGTGAAAGCCAGAGCTCGGCACAAGCCATTGTCACTGGGACCGAGAGATTGAATATTGGTGAAAACCAATACAAGCAACGCTCCGTAGCAGCCCCCGTCCAGCCCCAACGACCAGTTTCTAAAATGGAGCAGTCAGATCCCAGAGAGTTCCAGATCAACCAATTGAGGCGGCGTTACCGTCCACAGGAAGTCAATGATGCCCAGGGCTGCACTTTGACCTTTGGCTTAGTACCTTCTGATCCGGACTTCCCGTTTGAGCTCGAAAGACTCCAGTGTGTCCTTCATGTCCCAAGCTCATACCCAAAAGGGCGACCCATGCTTGCAGTGACCAATTCTGAAATGGAAGCTGCATATCAAGCAAATGTCGTCAGAGGCTTCGATGAAATTGTTGATTTTACGTACCGCACCAACGGCCGGGGAACTCTCTTGGGCTGGTTGAACAGTTTGGACAAAAAGCTCGAATCATTGCTAACCACCCTGGAGCGTGGGCCAACGCTGAAGTTTTTTGCCAACATTGGTGATGGATCCACAACGAAAGAACCCACCAAGGCCCCGGAGAAGCCTTTAAGCCAGCCGAGCCCGTCTCAAGGTCGTGGTAAATCACCAAGTGCTGCTGCTAAGCCAGCACCACAAGCACGCACTGTAGCACCTAGACACACAGCCGAGGCAAAAGCTACAGCCGAGAAGAGACGAGCAACCGAGATAAAACAGCTTGAGGCGCGCCTTGGAAGACTGCCGATGTACCAAAAACTGCAAGATGGCAGGACATATGTTATTCCCATTCAGCCAACGAAAAAGGACCGCCTGCCGCGAACACTTCAAGCACTGAAGACTGTGAAATTGATTGTGCCACAGCTCTACCCACTTGAGCAAAGCTCGATCAAGTTACAGGGAGTCGAAGGCCCTGAAGTGAAAGCCACAGAAGTGGGATTCACTCAGTGGGTAGAACAGACCTCGCAGCTGAGTCTGGTATCTCAGGTCAACTACCTGGCCAGCAATATCCATAAATTCGCTGAAACCCCCTTACCAAAAGAGGAGGAGCCCACTGGAGCTGTACCTCCCACTGTTGAAGAGGACGAGGAAGAGGAGGCGGAGGAGCCTGAAAGGGCACCTGCTGCGTCCTCAACTCAGGATAATGAAGACAGGCCACATCTTGTTGTGATTCCACGGCCACCCGAATGGTCGGTTCCTAATCCCCAAAGTGGCGCCGAGGGGACATCAGGCGAGTCTAGTTACGAGGAAGACGAGTTTTCAGATGAAGAGGAAGAGGAAGAAGGGGGCGCACCCGTTCCCGCATCAGTGGATAACAACGCGCCCGGACGAGGCGTCGCACTTTCCTTCCCGTTCTTAGAGCTCTACGGAATTGAGCTACTGGAAATCTTGAACCTCAACATCACGATCAAATGTGACAGATGTAAAGTGTCAGTCGACATCAAGCACGTGCCCCAAATTTCCGACGAGAAGGGCCAGATGCCGAAAATGGAGTCGTGCCGGAAGTGTGCTAATAATATGAGTGTCGGTGAGTATACACCTAATCTCATTCTGCTTATCTGGGGGTGGTTTACTGACTCTCATATGCAGCGTTCCGGAAGCAGTTGATGCATTCTCATGCTAATCGTGCTGGCTACCTTGACATGGGCGGCTGTACGATTGGGGACATGCTTCTTAGGTTGGTTCTCATTCATATCAGGAAAGCGCTATTTGTTGACTTATCTTGTATAGCGACTTCATCCCAACTTGCTCCGAGTGCTCAACCCCCCATCCAGCACCAGGTATACCTGCAGTTCGCGGCGAGAGTGCCATGGGTATATGTCGCCAGTGCCATCGCAAAATGGGTAGGTTCTGGTCCAACACACAGCGTCTATTGTTTGGCTACTAACGTATCTAAAATTTAGTCTTCAAGATCCCCGAGGTGAAATTCCTTCTTGTGGGAAGTGCAGCAAGTAAGTTCTGATATATAGAACCCGCAGCAGACCTTTTGCTCATTACTGTACCATCTAGTCACTTCTCGTGGAGCCCTCCCCCTCAAAAGAAAGGTTCGTACAATCCACCGCACATCACCATGATAATATCTAACAATTATCCAAGCCTCAGGAAGTCCTCGGTATTGTCGCAGGACAAGAACTTCCTCGACGCGGGCGTTGCCAGCACTATGCCAAGAGTCAACGCTGGTTCAGGTATGTGATCCTCTATCGATGAGTTGGTAGCATTTGACAAATAGGTGATACTAATCCCCTACAGATTCAGCTGCTGCTCAAAAGTCTTCCCTTGTGACAAGTATGATTCCCACGGGATGTCTCCCCATTCATTTTCAGATGCTTATTGGTTACCTAGGTGCCACGACGCAGAAACTGACCACCCGAACGAACACGCAAATCGTATGATATGTGGCTACTGCTCCCGCGAGCAGATATACAGGCCCGAGAACTGCGGTATCTGCAAAGCTGTTCTGATTGGAAAAGCAGGAAGTGGGTTTTGGGAGGGCGGAAAGGGAACGAGAAATCGGGCTCTGATGAGTCGAAAAGGTATGTCTTGCACTTTAAACTTCCTGTGGGTGCACTCGTCTAATAGTGCTCTAGATCCGAGGAAATTCAAGCGGATTGGAGCCAATCCTCCCACTTCGAGTTCATCGAAGCGGAAGTAAATGAGATGAGATGGAATAAGGGCGAGACTAAAAATATTATATATCTCAATACGTATATAATAGTTTAATTAAGGTCTCAAAACGAAAGCTTCTTCCAACCCAAGTAGCGGAAACCCAAACATAACATCAATACCTCATTCTCACCTGCCTTGGGCATCCATGAACAAAAAGTCATATTTTCATTCTTCTGTTACCCACCGATTACCCGTACGAGACCCAACGTCTACAAACCGACCCACAAATGTATATGATGTTGTGGGCACTAGAAGCTGCCACCTGCGTTGCTATATGGGTGGTGTTAGTGATAGGCAGTAGTGATGTTGCAGGTGCGTCTCCGTCCTGATACACCCACCTTTCCACCCCTAATAAACCCCAAGTCCATACAGTACAGATATATGCAGCAGAGCCGGACCATGTATCGACAAAGAACAATTTGACGGCAACAAAAAAGAAATGAATGGATGATAAGAAACGTCTGCTGGCTGAATCAAAGGTTATATTCGATCGGGAAGCATACTTGATAGAACATCTTCAACGTGCACAGGGCCAAATGATTAAAGGTGGTGTTGATGCTGATGGGCTAGGATTGATGAGCGTGTTGGAGAGGAATGTTCATGAACATCGGTTCAAGGTTCGACAGAATTGGCGTGAGCTTACGGACTTGCTGGACCGATACTCCAATTGACGTTGGAGGTTAACGGAGGATTGTGCTGGGTGATAGGTGTTGTTTATTCAGGCTCCTAGGAAGGTTGAAGAAAGTGGTGAGACCATTGAGTTGCTTCGGATTGCTCGGGTTATATAAAGTAGTAGGTATTCGTCCTTTTAAGTTCAAATCGCCTCTACTAAATGTTTTCTTTGACCTGTTAGTCGTACTTGAAGTATATGAATTGTCAGATGGAAGACTCAACACAACACCTATGAGGTTTTCATCAAGGACAACCTCTTTACGGACTCTGGATCAGGTCCATAGCTGGTTCGGATCTCATATCTGCTTTTTGTTCCTTAATTTAACACGACACACCCGTCATGTCTTCCGTTTATAGCGCCCATGTAGCCCCAGATAGTTCTCCAGTGCCTTTTACTCAATACTCATTTAAGCATATATGTATTCTCTGCACCCTACAATGGCAAGCTACTCACTACCACCAGGAAGGCGGAGTGCACAAGAACGGAGGATCCAATACCTCTCAGGTATCGGTTTGAGATACAGAAACCATGAAATAGTTCCAAAAATGTTATTAAGGAAAAGCCCCTAATTCGCTAAATGCAAGATACAAACTCCCAAACTGCAAGGTCCCATCAAGAAAATTCCCGACTAAACGAAACTTTTGTCTCTAAACCAAGTTACCCCGAAGTTCCTGCTCTCGTTCGATAGCCTCGAATAGTGACTTGAAATTGCCAGCTCCAAAGCCTTCGAAGTTGTGTCGCTGGATAATCTCAATGAACACAGTAGGCCGATCCATCATGTGCTATTTGTCAGATTAGTATAAATTTACGAATGCTAGGGTCATTATTTCCACATACCTTAGTGAAAAGCTGCAGCAAATAGCCACCCTCATCGAAATCAATCAGAATGTCCAAGCTGCGGATGGTATCAAAGCCTTCCTTGAGTACCAAGCCAGACTGCTTCAAGCGGGCCTGCATATCGGTGTAATATGTGTCAGGAACCTTGATGAACTCGACACCGCGTGCCTTTAGATTGGTGATATCACGGATAATATCATCGGTGTGGAGTGCAATATGCTGCACACCGGCACCATTGTAGAAGTCCACGTATTCCTCGATCTGGGATTGCTTCTTGCCCTTTGCTGGTTCGTTGATGGGCATTTTGACAATCTCATTGGGTGATGCCATGACGACACTGCTCAAAGCCGAGAACTCACTATGATTTTAGGTTAGTCATGGTGTCTGGGAATTGGGTGAAATAAGTTAAAACACTTACGTGCTGATTTGGTTATCGTCGACGGACCAGAAACGGTGGAACCCAAGAGCCTTCTCGTAGCTAAACGGTGGTATCAGTAAATGAGGCTCAATCAAACAATCTGGACCAAACTCACTATTCACAGATCTTATTCATCTCATCCCAGTCCTGGTTTCCAACACAATGGTCGATACGCTTGAGATGAACACTAGGCAAGAACTGCAAAATTGGATCTTCAACGCCAGTTTCAGCACGGTAGCCTGGCATAAAGACGCCGCGATATTCGCTGCGCTCAATGAGGGTATGGGTAGTCTGCCCATAAGTCTGGATGGTAGCAGTCTTGACATGGCCATTCTTATCTTCAAGGACCTTGGGGCTAGAGACAGCCTTGGCGCCATTCTTCACAGCAGCAAAGAAGACATCATCGACATTGTCAACCTCAAAGGCAACATCCTTGACTGCATCACCGTGCTTCTCAAGGTGGTCATGGATCTCCTTTAGCTCGGCTTGCTCTTCGGGATTAAAACGCTCAATTTGATCAAGGGACCGCAGAGGGGAGGTTAAGATAAAGGTGATGTCGCCATTGCGGATGACATGGGAACAAATATGGCGGCTGCTAGTTTCAAGGCCTTTGTAGGCAATACGCTTGAAGCCCATGCGGGTGATGTAGTAACTTGCAGCTTGCTTGGCATTGCCAACGTACCAGTGGACATGATCGTAGCCGCGGTAGCTGGCCACTGAAGATGCTGCGTTGGTAGCTGGGGGAGGAGGGCTATTGGAAATAGCTGAAGGTGCCATTTTGCTGAATCCCGTATGTTGTGATTATTGGGTAGATGAAATGTAGATGGTACAAGTTGAGAGAGGATTTCTTTAATACCAAGTCTACGCTACCCTTCCAAAGGTTTTAAATAAATCAGTAAGCGCAATTTGCCCCGGCGGATATCTATTCCAATCTTTGCATGTCATAGTTCCCGGCTATTCCAGGACCCTGAGATATCCGGAGATACCCGGACCCACTAAGCATCATTGTTAATATCCGTAGGATCTTCAGTTTCTCGGCTTCTCAATTTCTTTGAGACATTTTACTTTGTTCAATTTATTGTGACACTACAGTAAATTGACTGAACTCTCACAATATCCTCCCCAATCTCTCACCTCAACGTCAAATCCCAAGATGACATCTATCACAACTGCTCGCCCATCATTGACATCCAATGATTCGGCTGTACTACAAGCTCTATTCGATGCTGAATCCTCTCCATCATCGGGAATCACCATTGACAAATCGCTTCCCTCATGGCCATCATCTCTAAACATATCTGAACCAGACTTGGCATCGCTCAAGCAGCGCGAAACAGATATCATCCGCGAGCTGCAATCAAATAAATCACCAAGTATAGAGACAGTCCAGTCAGCACTGAACAACTTCGACACTCTCCTCACCCAGCACCCAACATATCCCTCCGCATACACAAACCGAGCACAAACTCTCCGCCTACTGGTCGATTTGATCTACAGCAAAGAAGCGGGTAATGACCAAAGCACTGATACCGAGCTAGCTGATGCTGCCCTCTTTGCCCCAGAGACCTCCCAGCTCTGCTCCCGCATCTTCTCTGATCTAGGCCAAGCCATAAACTTTGCCACACCTGCCTCCCCGGCTGATGCTGTCTCAACAACCCAGGCACGGTTATTGGCTGACGCGCACACGCACCGAGGTTATTTGCTTCTGAAAGCGGCGCGCGTGAAGAAGGCTGGTGCTGGCGATGAGACAGGCCCCGAGCGTTTGCGTGGACTTTCAGCTGATCAGCTTGAGGAAATGGCTAGTCGGGATTTCTTCTTCGGCGGTCGCTATGGGAATAAGGTTGCGCAGCAGCTTTCTGTGCAGACGAACCCTTATGCTAAGATGTGTGGGGCTATTGTTAAGGAGGCAATGAGGAAGGAGCTGGAGGGATGAAGATTATATACCATTGAGAAATAATTTAATGCACATAGTTGGCCTTTGGAATGCATCTGGAATAACGAAGGAATATTGAAAAGCAATTCTGATCGCTTTGATTTAATCTTGGTATCTTGTTATGCTATAGAGCTAATTGAAAACATGCGCTTTTACTCATCGCAATGCTGAGGCGCAAACCATAGCTTAAGCCTTTTTGTTAGGGTTCACAAAGTGTCGCTTCAGAGGCTTCCAACTGTGCTCGTTATATTCTGGCTGCACCTTCTCGCAGGTCTTAAGACCCCATTCCGAGACGCCGACCATAAGAGTACTAAATCATTGTCAGTAAATATGACAAGCCTCAAAATAATATCGGGGATCGAACTAACCTTTCAAACATGAAAGCCATGCTTCCATCACCAACCTTTTGAGGCTTCAGCTCAGCATTGCTAGCTCCCTCAAAAGCACCCGAATCGGGACCATGAGCACTCATGACATTGTGCAAACTAGCACCGGCAGGCTTGAAACCACCACCAACCTTCGCATCGTAGTCACCAGAAATCAGACCCATGAACTCCGACATGGTATTACGGTGGTACCACGGTGGACGGAAAGTACCTTCTGCAACGAGCCAGCGAGGAGGGAAGATGACAAAGTCAGCAATGGCGGTACCGACGTGGTCCGATGGACCTGTCAGCACAGTGAATATAGAAGGGTCAGGGTGATCGAATGAAATCGAACCGATAGTATTGAATCGACCGAGATCGTATTTGAAGGGATAATAGTTGCCGTGCCAGGCGACGACATCGAAGGGGGTGTGGTTCTGTCGTGCGGCGAAGAGAGTGTTGTTGAATTTGCTGTAGAGCTTGTACTCACTCTCCTCTTCGTCGTCGAAAGCTGCAACGGGAGCTTGGAAATCGCGAGGATTGGCCAAGCAGTTGGATCCAATGGGACCAAGCTCCGGGAGCTGGTAGTGGCCCTGGTATAATTCACAGATGTATCCTCGCACAGGACCGTCTGGGAGCGTCACTCGGTATCTGATAGAATTGATAAGTTATTGATTCCATGTAGGATATGGAAGACACCCACCTAATCCCACGAGGAATAACGCAGATCTCATTTGGTCGCAGAATAATGCGACCGAGTTCAGTCTGGATGTCCAACACACCGTGCTGAGGCACAATTAGGAAGTCTCCGTCTGCGGAGTAGAAAGCTTCCTTGCCCATGTCCTTGCCCGCAGCATACATCAAAATTCCCAGTCCTTGCTTCAGAGTGGGGTCACCAGAGCCTGCAATCAGGTGCAGTCCATGCACCCAGTCGACCTTCTCATCTAGATCGAAGGGGTTCCATCGGAGCTGGTTAGGGATGTGGTGAAGCTTGTGGGTCTCAGTTGTCATTCTCGTATGATAAGAGTCGGCATCCTCCGCGATGAAGTTCTCATGAGCTGCAGCGGGTAGAATCCGATATACCCAGGTCTGCTTATTCTCATGACGGGGTGCAGTGAATGCCGTTCCTGAGAGCTTCTCGGTGTAGAGCCCATATGGAGCTTTTTGTGGGGAATTTTGACCGATTGGCAGAGCTCCTTCGACGGCTTCCGACCTAGTTGCTTATTAATGATGTCCCTTGTTGGAAACTATTTGAATACATACTCGTGATGCGAGTCGAAGCCCGTCTGGTACTTGTATGGATCAGGGTGGGTGAATTTAGTGACAGGCATATTTGAAGGCGATGTGGTTTCCAAAGTTGGATGATGCAGACCTTTACAAATACCCCAGATCAACCGAGGATCTCAGCTTCTAAGAAAAGCCAATAACGTGAGGTCACACCAGTCACACCGTTCCGCGCATCTGTCAATTCCCGCGATTAACCGTACATTCCGCGGCTGGATGAGGGGGGAGCGGACCACTTCCGCACTACTTGAAGGTGTTAAGCCCGTGAACTCGCTTTCTCTTTCTCTCTAAACTCAACATTCATCATGGCTTCCTGGCTTCAGATCCCCAAGAACTCGCCGTTCTCGCTGGCAAATATCCCGTTCGGCATCATCTCAACACAATCTGCACCAAAGGCAGCTGCCATTGCAATCGGTGATCATGCATTGAACTTGAGTGCATTCGCTTCATCTGGAGGCTTTTCACAACTGCCAGCTATCGAGAAACACCTAGCTGTTTTCAGCCAACCGACACTGAATGACTTCGCTGCACTTGGTCGCCCTGTGCACCGACAAGTGCGCGAGTATCTCCAAAACATCTTCCGTGCCGACACAAAGTACCCACAGCTCCTCAAGGACAATGCCTCCCTTCAGCAGTCCGCTTTGCTACCCTTGTCCCAAGTCACCAACCATCTTCCTATGCAAATTGGCGACTACACCGATTTCTACGCTGGCCTGAACCACGCATACAACATTGGCGTCCTCTTCCGTGGTCCGGACAATGCGCTTCAGCCTAACTATAAGCACCTACCCGTTGCCTACCACGGTCGTGCCTCATCAGTTGTGCCTTCGGGCACACCCCTCCACCGCCCCCAGGGTCAGATTCTGGCGAACCCCGCTGCAGACCCCAAGGTGCCTGCTTTCTCCCCCTGCAAAAAGCTCGACATCGAGTTGGAGCTTGCTTGCTTCATCGGCAAGCCCAATGATCTCGGCAAGCCTGTCCCAATCGACCAAGCCGAGGACCACATTTTCGGTTTGGTTCTCATGAACGACTGGTCCGCCCGCGACATTCAGGCTTGGGAATACATCCCTCTGGGCCCCTTCAATGCCAAGAACTTCGGTACCACCATCACCCCTTGGGTTGTTCTGATTGATGCACTCGAGCCTTTCCGCGCCCCCGGTCTGGAGCCTGCAAATCGCGAGTCCCTGCTCCCCTACTTGCGCGAGAAGCGCGCTGAGAGTGCCTACGAGATCCCCCTCGATGTCGAGCTTACCAATCCCGGTGGTCAGCCCACTATTATCTCTAACAGCAATGCTCGCAACCTGCTCTACTCTTTCCCTCAGATGGTTGCTCATCACACTATCACAGGGTGTAATTTGCGCACCGGTGACTTGCTGGGTTCAGGTACTATCTCTGGTAAAGAGGCTAAGACTGAGGGTAGTTTCTTGGAACAGACCAACGGCAAGGTTCCTCTTAAGTTGGCGGATGGCTCTGAGCGTATGTTCCTTGAGGATGGCGACACTGTTACTCTGCGCGGTATGGCCGGAACAGAGGGCAACTATGTCGGCTTCGGCGACTGTGTTGGCACTATCCTGCCTGCCGTTTCTCTGCAATAGATAACTTAAAAACGAATTAAATGATCAATGTGTGATGTTGCTTCGGTTTCGTTTATTTCTATACTATGGAGCTTGAAATGAAATGCTTCGGCCAGATTTATTTACCCACAATCAGGATAAACGATCTCCTGCTACATTTCGTCAAGTAATCATTAGACGCAAGTATTACTAGCAGGCTGATGGAGTATCCCAGAAACATTGATTGAGGCTAGTCAATACACTACATATAGCCTTTTTGGCTACTCCTTAACACGAAATTCCTCGGGAGTATCATCCTGCGACCTCCAATGCCCCTTCTTAACAGCCTCCTCCATCTCCAAGTTCTTCACAATCTCGTTCGTAACCGGGAACTGACCCAAGTCAACACCAAATCGCTCAGCTCCCCATGCAGCAGGAATCAAACACAAATCTGCAATGGTAATCAAATCCCCAACGCTAAACTTCCCCGCTGATTCCTTAACAATAGCCTCATAAGCCCTAAGCCCATCCTCTATCAAATCCTTCGACCAGACAGCACGATCAACTCCTAGCGGCCCAACCCGCTTCAAGATCCTGAGGTTTGTAACAGGCTGTATATCGCAAGAGATAATATCCGCCAGCGTGCGCACTACAGCGCGACTCTCTGGGTCCGAGATCGGGGGGATCAGCGCGGGTCCTTGTTCTGGGAATGCTTCTGCGAGGTACTCGAGTGCGGCAAGAGATTGCGTGATTGTCACGGGTGCTTTGGAGTCGCGCTGGATTACTAGGGCGGGCACTGTTCCGGACGGGTTGATGGCCAGATGGGCTGGGGAGGATTGTTCGCCCTTTAGGAGGTTCACGTAGACGGATTTAAAAGGGATTTGTTTTAGGTATAGGGCTATCCGGAGTCTTGCCGAGCAGGAGGACCGGAAATAGGTGTGGAGAGTCACTGAGTCGGTCATTGTGAAAGGCTGTGTTGTTGGTATTCGATCTATTGGATATTGGAGTATTGGGGTAGCGACGAAGGTATGAAACGGGTTCAGACAGTCAGGAAGAGATAATGTGCTTATAAAGTAAGATACACAAGTTCAACTATATACGTTGAATCACTTTCCCCGGACGCGGATCTTGTGTGCCGTTACCTCTTCTCCCTTGTACATGGAGAGCATTGGCGGAATGAGTTCCGTCATCTTGAAGCCGAGTCCAAGCGTGGTACCTACACTTCGGCTATGACGGGAAGACGTCCATTTGATTATTCGATATTGTTTTTTACTTGTCTAGAACATTGTCCATTTTATTTACAGTGTACATGCATTAGAGCCTGGAGGCTTGCAGCCGCCTTATACTGCGACATATATGATCTGCAATTTGTCCCTTGGCTCTTGACTACGCAATAATTAGATTGGGGTTAAACTAGACGATTTAATTCTCTATAAAATAGGTTCATGGATACACGATTTCATTAAATAAATCTTCCACAAAGGTCTGATCCTACGCTGGACGCTAATATGGAGATAAAGAAGCTCGCGGCCCCGACGGATATCGCCGGGTAATTATCCCTCCACATTTCTTCCATCGCATCACCAAATATCCACAGAACCCACTTCGCCGAGATCCCTGAATCCGCCCAGGAACGGTTGACGATGGATGTCGTCAGGTCATCCCGGCCGGACAAGCCGTATCAGCGCACCTACAAGGCCTGCATCCCTTGCCGGCAAAGGAAGGCCAAGTGCGACCTAGGAACAGGCCCAGATGGCCTTCCGATCGGCCCACCATGTGCGCGCTGCCGAAGGGAACTAAGGGAATGTGTGTTCCCTGAAAAACGGGCCTGGGAAAGGTCCCGCAAGCGAGGTACGCTAGAATTGAAGTGCTTACCATATCTAAATTGGCTGTTATCTAAATGGTCAATTTCTAGCGCGGTCACCGGAGAGCTATGAAGCCGATGTATCACCCCGACACGCCAGGCAACCTACGACGACCTCACCTGCTAGTTCTGTCCTCGCACAAGGACAGACCCTCAATCCGCATACAAGGGGTGTAGTCAACCCATCACCCGAGACCAACTTTCATCAAGAGCCCAACTTTCCGTCGGGATGGCCATATCCTCGGGATGAAACAAGGTCCCATCGTGGCTCCCTTGATCACCCTTCCGCAGGGCCTTCACGGACTGATCATTCCCCTTCTCATGCATATGAAAATAATAGACACCGAGCAAATTCTACACTTGCGAGCTCTATGATGCGTACTGTTGTTGCAAGTGGCAATGATGCCCTCAACATTCTCTTCGAGGCTGCAACTGCCCAAGAAGATATTAACCCTGATACTAGCTCCGAATCAATAGCTGGGCCGCCCTCGGCAGGTTCGAATACTCAAGATCGAACACCCAGAAACTACAATACCACCTTTGAAACGGTGGCACGGGTAATTCATCCTGTGAAGCTATCCGACGCAACCCAAGACACTCTCAATGTCTGGGAAGCTTGTCGATTTGTCAAGATGGGCTGGTTTACCGCTAGAGAGGCTGTTACTTTTATTGATCTGTGTGTTCCGTCGCATGTTCTGTGTCTCTACTAAATAGAAGCTAACCAGAAGTAGGTTCTATAAGAATATGTCCTGTTTATCTCCGATTCTAACTGATTTCTACGCCAACCATCGATACCACTACTGGCTGATTACTCGAGAGCCAGTGCTATGCTCCACTATTCTCATGATCTCCTCCCGCTATCACGTCCTTCCCGGGGCAGGGGGAGAGTCGAGGAATTTCTTTATTCACCACCGACTATGGTCGCATTGCCAAAAATTGACGATGCGGCTGATATTTGGACAAGAAAAATCCACAAAATCCAAGGTGCGGAGCCTGGGTACTGTGGAGGCGCTTCTGTTGATGTCAGAATGGCACCCTCGCGCCTTACATTTTCCACCCGAGACGGATGGCTGGGACGATGATTTAATCCCATCAGCCCCCACGAATCATGAGAACAATGATCCAAACTCAGCTGGCAGTCGCGGGGTAGAAGATATCATTGAGCCAGCACGCCGATCTGACCAAATGTCCTGGATGTTGCTTGGATGTGCGCTCTCTCTTGCACACGAGCTGGGCATTTTCGACACACAAGGAAGTAGCTCATCAGCCGACGAGCCAGAATGGAGAGATCAGATGGAAATTCGTTGGCAGCGTGTACAGCGTCTGCTATACGTCTACATCAATCAATTGGCTTGGCGGATTGGATGCATGTCACCGATCCCTCAATCACTTAACCATTCTATCCTGGGTGGACGGAAGCCAGAAGGGCTGGGACCACCGGGCAGCACGTGGTTGACATTCATGGATTCGTGGATTGAGCTCACCAAGCTAGCCAAGTCTGTTACTGATATGTTCTTCCCCTCTGCTGCGTTTGCACGCCAGCAACTACACAGCGGCCGATACGTTGGTCTTCTTGAGCATTTCCGACCTCTTCTAAATCAATGGAAAGACAAGTACCTGCAGCCCCAAGTACTTGATCAAGCATTCTACAACGATCTGTTCATCGAATACCACTTCGTCCGCGTCTACACCCATTCCGTGGGAATGCAAGCAGTAGTGGAACGTGCTGTCGCAGAAAACGACCCCAACAACTTCGACGGAGTGCGACCCATGACCATCGACTCAACAGACTACGAATACATTCAAGAGGTAATCGACGGATGTGGCCAGATTTTGCAAAAAGTCACCCATCTAGCCGAAGCAGGGGCGCTACGGTTTTCCCCAGTTCGAATTGTCCTTCGCATAACCAGCGCTTCAATCTTCTTGATGAAAGCGCTCAGTCTGGGCACACGGCAAGCCAAACTCCAGGAATCAATTGAAATACTAGAAAAGAGCATCAAAGCGCTCAAGTCAAACGCCTTGGATGATGTCCATCTGAGCACACGCTATGCCACGCTGCTAGACATGCATGTGTCACGCTTGCGGCGCAATCTGCTGGCATCGTCGAAATCCATAAAGAGTAGTCGAGACCCGACGCGAAGATCATCCATGGGGCCTCCTACTTGGCCGGAAAATGGTGACCAGTCAAATCCCATGAGGACCCCTGTAGCGCAGGACCCACCTCCGGATCTGGGATTCATCCCATCCTTGAATGATATCGGTGCAGATAACTGGCTTTCCTTGCCATTTGATCCATCGATGGCGCCGTTTGATATGAGCCATGGATGTCAATTTCCGATGTATGAAGGTGGAACATTAGATTTTCTCTGGAATCTGCCATCGTGATGGAATCCACTCTACATATATATTCAATTAGTTAGCTTGGTATATAGCCCTGTAGGGTTGTAATTATTGCTGAGTGATACCCTAATTTAGATAATGCTGTTGCGCCTAGGGAGGGTCGGTCATATACGCCTATCTGATTCCCTAATGCCTGTATTTGAGGTGTAAAATGTCAAAACAGCTAGCAACTGAAAGCTGAATTCATGGGAGAGTTTGTCAATCACATCTTGAAAACGGATCATTATCAGAAGCACAACCTCGAACTGTTGGGCTTATAGACATGACTAGGAGATAAAATAAAGAATAGCAAAAACTCATGTCTTAGAGTGCATTGCCTCGGTCTCTCATAGCCCATGCCTTATGATAATAGACGTTGATTCATCTTAGTTCAAGCTAAGACCGGCTTCTTTGGAGGAATAGCCATTCACTCTTTTTTTTTTATCGAGACATCTGAACAATCATTTTGAGACACATGCAAACGAAGCAAATGATGAGTAGCTAAATTCATGAGATATGCAAAGTAGCGCACATAATATGAAATTCATTTGAAGCCGGGGTCATCGTCTTGAACAATGTAAAGACGGAAGTACCCAGAATACCAGCAATGTATACCACAAGAACCACACAGAACGAATAGACACATCTGATCCAGATCTACCACCCCTCCAATGGCGTAAGCAAGGCAAGTACTCCATCTTTAGGGGACACGGTAGCTCCTTCCCGAATCTCCAACTTAGCATCAGGAAACTTGAGCTCCATATGAAACCGACCGACCGTAGCAGCAATCAAGCAAGCAAGCTCCGACTTCGCAAATCCCTGCCCAATGCAGCTACGCGGACCATGCAGGAAAGTCAAAAAGGCATAGTTACTAACCGCACCGCCGGTGTTAGCCTTGCCAGGACCCATAAAGCGGTCCGGGTTGAACTCGTTCGCATCTGGGCCCCACAGCTCTTCCATCCGGTTCAGAATTTGCGGAGAGATGATGAGTGTCGTATCCTTGGGAATATGTGCGCCAACAAGAGTCGTGTCACGAACCGCCTTGCGGATGGTCATCGGCACAGAGGGGTGAAAGCGGAGGACCTCGTTGCACACTGCGTTTAGGTAGGGCAGGTTATCGACTGCGGCTGCAGAGATTGGAGTCGGGTCGTCAAGGGAGGGAAGATTGGCACGTATTTCATCCCGCAGACGAGTTTGGACGTTTGGGTTCTTGCAGAGTGCGTAAACGGCCCACTGTAGTGCTGTGGCGGTTGTCTCGTGGCCTGCGCCTAGGAAGGTCATGGATTGGTCGACGAGGTTCCCTTCATCGAACGTGCCGCTACTGAGCGCAACGGAGATGATGTCAATGCCGGTTTCGGCTTTATGGTCTTCCATTTTGGCCTTTTTTTGTCGGATCATCTGTCGTGCGATGTTGCGGATGACCTCGCCGCTCTCCTTGATATCTTTGTTGCGTTTCGTCGGTAATGTGTGGACCCATGTTGGGTCACCTAATAGTATCATACTGATCACGAAAAGAACTTTCAAGAGAAGGGGTGGCGAGGACGTGATTTTGCGGTAGGATTGGTTGAGGGTGTTGTCAGGTTCCCGGAGAGAGTTGAAGTCATGGTCCATACCGGCGACGCCGATGATGTCCAGGGTTGCTCGGCTGGCCCAGTTACTGATTTGGACTGTATTGTCGTTGTTCCCACTGGCCTTTCTGTCCTGTAGGTCTTCCTCAATCATCCTGACCATTTCTACACTCTTGCCCCAAAATACTGGGTAGAGATTCTTGATGTGGCGATAGGCAAAGGCTGGCATAAGATTCTTGCGTTGTATCTAATGGAGAAATTGTAAGTTTGAATGCATGTCGAGTGTAATTTGAAGGGCTAAACTTACCTTGTGCTCTTCACCTTCGGCAAGTAGAATTCCATCGCCTGTAATACGCCGCAAGCTTTGCCGGACCAGCTCGGGCTTTTCAAAGTCATAAACTTTCGTAACAAGCAGCTCACCCAATGCTTTTGGGCTTGTCAAAATTACTCTTTCGATGTTTGCGACAAGATAATACCGGAGGAGATCTTGATTGGGCCTGTCCTTGACCCGCTCTCGTAGCTGCGGATAGGGGGTCTCAAGCAAGAAATTCAGAGAATGACCGGTGAGCCAGCTTCGATCCTACAGATTATTAGACACATTCATCAAATACTTATTAAGGATGGCTAGCCTACCGCAGGTGAATCGATGTGTTTCAATGGAGTAAAGTAGTCGGGATACAACACAAGCTGATAAATAATTCTCGACGCAGTGATGACTCCAAATAGGATAGCAGCCGTCACAATCCTGGAATTGAAAATCGCATACTCCGGCTTGAAGTATATCCCGGCGGCGAGGCCGAGATAGATAATAGTGAAGTTGTCGCTGATGCGTCCCATTGCTCAATCTTTTCGGAGAATCAGGGGAAACTGAAATTGGAATTTGGCAGGTCAAATCTCACATGGAGCAGAGGAGAGCAGAGAAGAGCTTCCTGAGTATCAAACACTCTCGGTTTCGATCAGTTCCCAGTAGCACCCGTGAAGAGTGTGCTCAAGTGGGGTGTAGACGAGATGGCGATGTGCTTGGCTAATTGTTCCCGTTGTATCTGATTCTTTTCGTACAAAACCAAAAAAAAATGAGACCTTTGCGCAGCTCAGATGATGTTCGGATCTTTTGAGATGGTTGCCTGGGAGTGACTTGACTTTCTCCATGTCAAGTGCGGAGATTATTAATACACGGGCTATCAACGTATAATACTCACAACTGTTCGAAGGAATTTCAGGGTCGAATGTTGTTGATGATTCTTTACTCGCCCTCGCAAGCATTACCGCATTAAGCCTGGATCCGCAAACATACTCCCTGCCATGTGGAATTATACGCACATATGTATAATAAATCGGGAGCTTGTGTCGAGCTGGAAATGGGACTTACATTATTCGAAGTGCATTCGATCCCCCTGGTCCTTCTGAGGCCATCTCCCCAGGGCAGTGTTGTGATTATGTCATATCCAATGCCCCGTGGCCCGACCTCGGGGACTCATATATGCGCTAGGTTACTCCTATATCATCATTTATCCTCCCTCTCGAGAACAGAAGGGGTTCCTATGGCCACGTTGAAGGCACCGGATTCCGATCGTTATAACTGGGTAATCGTTTTATATCGTTAAATGGGGGTTTACTTATAGATTATAGATTTCAATTACCAGAATTATCCGAAATGATCATATTGGAAGTTTCAGATGGAGAGCTAGAAATTCGGCATTGAAGATCAAACGTCAGAGCGGCGGTGGCAAAGGACTAGGTTCTTCTCGTGTAAACCGTCGACGTCGTGGGGACAGAAATAACAAACAGCAGACCCCATAGACGCTACCGAGAAACAGAAAACCCGCTGTGCATGTTTGATCAATTTACAAATCATCTGGTAGCTACTTGCCAACAGAAACCAGAGATCTAGCCCACAATGGATGGATGGACGCAATTGCGTTACCTAGGTACTCCAATGGGTCAATATGAACAAAAGCTCGAAAGCACCATTTGGTAGCGTACACTTGCTATAAATACGAAGAAAGAAATCATTTAGAACTCGCATAACCTGTAGCCCACCAAAGGCAATACTATTAGGACAAGGAATGGGAATATGTACAGTCATGCCTTACCCAACCCCAATCGAAACTCGACAGAATCACCAAAAAGCACCCTCTGACTCAGACATCTGCCGACCCCACAATTCTATCGAATTCACCAACCGTATGCTGCCAAACCTTCTGGGCTATTCCCTGCTCGCGAAGTCCAGCTAGCAAGGTCACCACATTGGGACCAGCATGCTCCCCCCTCCAGTGAATACTGTAAACCCCACTTCCAACCTTCCCGTCCGTCCCACTGGCAACCTCAACTCCCTCCGACAAAGGCACACCAGAGGAAGCTTCCCCTGCGTCTAAACGGGCACGGGGCGGATACTTAGCACTCGTCGCGAAGAAAAGATGTCTCTCCCCCGACTCCCGAATGGGAACGTAAATCAAAGGCCCGATTATCATGAGCACAATACCCATGAACCAAGTCAAGAAGGTATTTGCCTCGCGCCCAATCCCTGTCTTGACTGCGCCGGGGTAGTCGTTAATAAACGTCACTTCTGGCGCTTGCTCGGCCAGTGTTTCCAGGGCCATATCAGTCATGGACACAAGATGTCCACGTAGCTTTACTATGGACAGCTTCTTTGCTTGGAAGTCGGTAACGTCGATGGGACCTTCGTGGCCGCCGGCTAGGACGCTGACGACGCGCCGTAAGCCTGTTGCTTGTTTGAGATTGGGGAGGAGGTTGGTGATGAACCGTGTTCGTGCGTAGTATCCAAGTGCAGGTAGGATATGGAGGCCTTCGGTTGTATCTATTTGCATATCATGAGTAACAATATCCTTTTCTTGTATGTGATGTGAGAACGTCCTACTTACCTTCCCCCGAACGAATAGTTCCACAGCTAAGGAAGAGGATGTTGATACTTTTCTCTTTACTCTGAAGCTCGCGACACACCACATCGACGTTCCGAATCAGGCTGACATCCGCTTTGATGAAGATGAATTCTCCCTCCGGGTTCAACTGTCGACATTCGGCTGTGATGCGGGCAGCGGCTTCTTGCGCGCGGCCGATGAAGTATGCGCGTGGAGATTGGGCTGAGCGGGCGAACTCTTTCAGCGCTGCTTCGCCGACGCCATTTGTTGCCCCTACAAAGACTGCCACAAGGCCTGGTGGGAGGATTTTGGCGATTTGAGCATTTGAGGACTGGACGTCTGGTAGAGAGACCATTTTGAACGTTTACGGTAGCGAAAAGAAGTGTGAGATGTCAGATTCAAGCGTCTCTCGTTGACTGTGGAGTTTATCTGAGGTTTCTTTGCCATGTATTTATATTGCACAGCTATACCTCGTATTGTTCGTGTTCGGTGCATCTACAGCCCGTCTCGGACGGATGACGGACTTAAACGCCACATGAGCCGGAGGAATGAAACCCCCCGGAGTTTAGCTTTGAAACAGTTTTGTTCATCAGACGTTGAAATAGATATAATTAATTAGAAGCAGATATATAAAATATAACAAGAATGTTCGGTTACCTGCATAGGTAAATGTATGCGGCCTTCCTAGGTGAAGTCTTACTCCCTACCAAATCGCACCTTCCTTCTGGCCAATGATTCCTGACGTGCCTTCTCATACGCCCGTGGGAAATATATACCGGTCAACCCCTTGAACGCTACCCGGGTTTGCAGTTTGGATAGTTACATTTGCAGGTGTAGTCGCAGATAAACCTTATAAGCTCGACATGCATCTTGCATATCCACGTACAGGATAGTGGTAATCGGCCGAGGGTGACCGGGAGCTTCGTCCGCGCTTTCCGAGGTGAGGGGTTCTAGCATTCTATCAGATCATAGGGATGCCGACACAAAAAAAAAAGAGAATCCCAATTTCGGGAATTTCTTCACAGAAAACAGACCTAGTTCTACAAGAAATGAGACAGACATACAATTGGTTCCATTCCATCCGGTAGAAAATAGGTATCATCCCCGGATATACGGGGAACCTCCTCCCCGTGATGATCAAGGCCCGTTGTTCTTCAAACCGCGGTATTACTTGGCAGCTACTCTCATCGAGGCTAACAAGCATGATGAGCCTATGGCCATTATCTATGCTATCGGTTAGTTTATGGGACCATGAAAATCCTCAAAAGAGTCCCGTCAGTAATATGGGCCAGCTGCACGCCGATAATCTGACTCTGGCTGTGCAACGAACTCGACCATGCGGCGGAAGAGCTCGATTTGCCACTACTTCCAGAGTTTGTAGTCCTCGGGGGCGATGCGGCTGTTCACTAGCACGGCAGTGACCTCCACCGTTATCAGCGAGGTCCGCGCTGTGAAATCCCGCCTAGATGGGCCATGTTCCGGTCATGCCATCCTTCAGGGCTCGGCGCTGAACTGACAAAGCGACAATAGTTCAATTCAATTGTGGAATATCACGCCTCACACGGTGAAGGGCTGGAGCAGCTTCGGGGGTTGGTTGCCGATCAATTGTGGGATTGGGGACCCAGGCTGGAGCGAAGTTTGAGACATCGTGCACGGGTTTGTTCTCGATATGCAGGGTGGAGTCAAGCATGCTAGTGTTAAGTATTTTCGACGGAATACGTATCAGTGACGGGGTGAAGGAAGCTGGAGGTAGCTGGAGTATATACTGGAAGGAATTGGTGATTTATATACGTTCCTTGATATCAACAAGATTATTTGTCAGATCGAAGTTGCGACGGGGTAAGGCGAATGATAAGAGCTAAAGACAGTATTAGACAGTTTCCACATTTGGAGATCGACGCGATTCACCTGTATAACTGGGTTGGTTAAGGATGGACATGGCTCTGAATACATTCAAGATCAAGGTGGCCCCTTGGCTGTGCGCAAAGCCTCGGCAGTAGTGCTTATCATGGCGTGATGGGGTCCAAGTCTTGGCGTTATAGAGCTCTGGATTGTCGGCGCAGATACACCGTGATACCGGAGGATTTATTAATCCCAAGTAGTTAACTAACAATACTCCTTATGTAATCAGGATAGTATAGATTGCCAGAATAGTGGATACAACAATACAGAGAGTTGAATACCATTGATTGGACTATATTACACAATACGGAATACTCCGACATGGATCAGGTGCCTCAAGTATGGAAAATGACTCAGGAATCCACACGTTTTTTTGATAGAAAGATATATAAAGACCGTAGCGCTGGCCACATTGGTGCATCAAGCAAAACGTGTACTCCGTAGCGCCCGGAATAAGCGCTTAGGTACATGGACCCTCCCCTGGCGCGTGCGGATGGCCAGTGAGGGGTGGGAAGGGAGATTACCGACCCCATCTTCCCTATTTGTCTCACTTTGGATTGCGAGAATAGATGGCAATAAGTTCGGAGTATTAACCAATGCAGAGAATATTCCCAAATTTAGAACATATAAAAGAACAGAAGACAAAAAAAAAAAAACAAAGGGAATTCCCCGGAGTCAGCCCTAAAAACCCGCTCGTGCCTGTAACTTCCCGCTGTCCCCACACCTGTCGAACCCTCGATGTTTCAGTCTTCTTCCCCTTTCTCAAACTTCCATTGTGTCATTCATTTTTCAACAGCCTTCGCCACAAGGGCCCTGGCCACACTCATTCGACCCTATTTCCAATAATTGCGCATTCCTTCTCCACATCCTGTCCCTTTCTTGGCAAAAGATTGGCGTGTCTTCAATGAAACTCTGTCTATTGTCGCTTTAAGTACGCCAATGCGCACCTGAAATTCCAACCCTTCATTGTGATCATATACACGTGGCTTGCCACCCTCGATATCTGACACCGGGATCCCGCCTCTCTCCTTGCCTTGCGCAGGTATGCGCCATTCGCGCGGTTAAGATATTATCATTCCCATCGCTCGTTGCGCCTGAGTTTTGTCTCTCTCTATTCTTTGCACCGATTTCGAACCTCAACCACGACTTTGCCCGGCTGGCCCGAGGAAGTCGACCTTTGATCGTCCGTGATCCCGTCATTCATTTCAATCCTCCGTGATCACTTCCTGGCAGGACCAGGTCAATCGACACAATGCTGTGCTGTGGAGACCGTGAGAAGGGGGATGTAGCTATCGAGGAGAAATGGGACTACGTGGTATGTCTACACAATGACAGTGTTGTATACATGCCTCGGGATACTGATGAATTACTTCCTTAGAACTTGGACGACTTTAAATCCGAGTCTTGTTGGACCGGCTTCTCATATTTCTTCCTATGGGTGTTTCTGTTTATCTCGATTGCAGTCTACGGCGTCGATACATTTACTGCAGTCAACTTGCTGGCTTTCTCTCGATGGTCTGGTAGAGTTGAACCCGCCATTCCCTTCAATATCTCCCGCTGGATCTTCGCCGCCTGTATCATTGCTTCGTTCGTTCTTTTGGCCTATCGATGGATACATGCCATCCGAGCCATCCGCTCGGGTAGTATTACCCGCAGCTTTCTGGACCCGCTGGCTGTGCGTATTCAGAGTATTCGCTTCGGCAAGCGGGGTCGTGGATACAGGAGATTCCTCGTCTTCGCCGAATTAACGAAAGACAGGAAAGCAGCAGAATATGTTGCTCTTTATGCATACTTCTCTTTCCAATGTAAGTATACGACTGTTGTCTAACTGATCTTCAAAAATGACTAACGGAGATTTTAGTCTGGATGAACACGATCTTTGCAGATGGTCCGCGTCAAGTTCTCAATGGCATCACTCTCTATTCGGTCATGCAGATGGACCTCCTCCCTGGAGGTAAGAATGCAGCTCACGACGATGGAACTTCTGGAGCCAGTCAATTCTTCAACAACATTAAGATTCTAGCCGAGGAAAACAACCTTCAAGCTGTGGTCTTGTTTGGTATGCTTTTCACTCTAGTCATTTGGGTTCTATCAGTCCTCAAGTTGATATCGGCGATTGTACTCTATTTGATCTTCCTCTTCCACCATATCCCAGCGGAAGACGGTACTCTGTCGAGGTACTGCCGGCGGAAGGTTGGCCAACGGCTGAAGCGCATCGTGCACCGCAAAAATACCAAGGCCCTGGCAAAGGGACTCAAATTACAGAACCGAGCACCCACTCAGCCGATGCTGGCAACAGATTCGAACCCGACTCTGCCGTCTCTCGCCGGGGATAAGACCCCCACAGTGGCTGTGTTGTCACGAAGTACCACCCAGACCACTTTGCCACCCTACTCGCGATCGACTTCTTCGACAGCACCGGCGCACAACCCAACACTGCCGAATCTGGACTTTGATGCCAAACCAACACTGGCTCGAACTGGAACTTCATCTTCAGCATTGTCCGAGTCTTCTTCACTAACGGGCAATGCGGCTGGAATGGGATACACCCCTCTTGGTCGCCAGAACCCGACGCTGCCACCGGTACCTCCCTTGCCGGCTAACGTTCCATCAAGGATGGCCACTCCTCAGTCTCGAGCGAGCCCTGCGCCATATGGCAATGATGGTCGTCATAGCCCCGGTCCTGGATATCGCAATCTGACCGATAGTTCTGATTCTCGGCCATATCAGGGTCACACCCCGGCGCCCGATTATACTTCGGCTGACATGGACGCTTCCGATGATCACGAATATTTCAACAGTAACCGTGCACCTGCTCACTACGACCCCTACGGTCCTCCGAGAGCTGCATACAGTGGAGAGGACGGATACGGACCTAGATACGGGCCCCCCGGTGGCCAAAGAGACGCGCCTCGTGCACAACAAGATTACTACCAACAGGATCCATATTCAACACGATCCTACACGCCCGCCAGCACTGGTGGGACACCTGCTCCCTATCGGACCAACACCCCGGCAAGCTACCGCCCTACACCTCCCCCACAAGCAGCCGCAATGGTACAGCCTCCACCAAGGACGTTCACCCCAATGAGTTCAGCAACTCCCCCTCCTCAAAATGGTGGCTATGCAGCTTTCAACCCATCAATGCGTCATCAAACACCTCAGCCTCGCTCCCAGGCTCCTCCCGGCCCGTCCGGCTATACTCGAGCAAACACAGCTTCCCCCTCGGTCATGCATCGCGCTCCACCAGGGCATACATTCAATCGCTCAAATACCCACCAATACTGATAAGGCTCACCCCTGTAGCCTTCATTTGAAAGCCATGAGACCTTATTATGATGAAAACCAGGAGCTGGCTCTCCTGTGCTTGATGACCGGACTACTCGCTAATACTGATCACGACCAGCGAGTCTCTCGAGATCTTGTACATACCCCTATTCGCCTCACTCTGATATCCTTCCTCGAATCCATATTCCCATGACACGAATTGTCCATTCTTTATTCCCCAATTTACTGCAAATGTATACACAAAGTAATCGAAAACAATCTTGATATCCCTTTTTATTACGCAATTCCATGGCCCATGATAATGTAAATGAAATATGAACCGAGTGATATATATACACTTATACAGTAAGCTATACAATCAAAATCTTCCACCATCCCCGACAAAACAATCCCCAATCACCAAATCTTCTTAGCGATCATCTCGTACCGCTGCACATGATCAACATTAAACTCCCCATCCTTACTCTTATCTTTCTCCTCCTTCTCCTTGACCCGTCGCAACCCATCCGGATCATCAGCATAGATCAATTTCCGCTTCTCATCCCCAACCTCAACGACACCCCACCCACCAACACGCTGACTACCCTCAACATGGAAATCCCGAGAACGAGGCGCCCCACTCTCAGTACCGGACTGGTTATTTGAGGACTGTCTGCGCTCGCTCTCCCGAGCCTTCATCTTCCTATATCGGGAGCGTGCAAACGCGAGCAGGGCCATGCCCAGCAGGAGTTTCAGAATGAGCAGGACGATGAATCCAGTCAATAACAGGATACCGGTGAAGATATGGACGGACTGTGCTGGAGACGGGATTGCGTTTTCGAGGACGGTTCGGAAGAACGCGCTGACGTGGGCCGCGGACGCGGGGAGGATGGTTGCGAGTGTTAAAGGTGGAGCTGAAGGAATCGGGGAGGGGGCGTAGTGGTTGTGGATTGAGGTTAGGGAGGTTGCTCCGTTTGCTGTTGAAGATGGGTGTTGGGGGATGAGGGCTGCTAGGAACATTTGGTATGTTTGGACGGAGACCCTGAAGAAGAGACAGGAGAGAGGGATGACGGGTAGACCGATGCGACGGGTTAAGTTCTGTTCACCGAAAGCGTTTGTGTAGTAGTCCTTTGCTAGGACGTCTAGGAAGCGGCCGTAGATTGCTGGACGGTTGTTGTTGAATTTGTTGATGTAAGCGTGTTTGAGCCAGTCTACTAGCATTTCGGAGCCTAGTACGACTAGGAATGGGCCGAGGACTTGAGCTAAGGTTGGGATGAAAGAGTTGACACTGTTGAAGGATGATAGGATTGAGGATGGGAAGAGGGTGAATGCTTGGGGTAGGATGGATGATGCAGTGCGTGGAGGCGTGGATAGCGGTGTGCTGTTGGTGATTGTGGAGGACTGGCCTGGGAAGCTAGAGCCCAGCCCGAGGTTGCCGACAAAGTTGAATGCGCCTGTCTCCACAATGTTACGCGAAGCAATGATGGTAAGCATCAGCCACAGCTGGAACCGTTCCACGACGTCCGCACAGGTAAGCTGGAAGAGGTTTTCTTTTTCGAACTTGCGGAAGACGGTAGATTTGATCTCCACGAACTGGTTCGATAGAAGCAGCGTAATCAGTGCGTTGGAGTATGAGTTAACTGCCACGTTTAGAGTCATGACCTGATAGAATAGAGACAATGCATGGGATACTGTGTAAACCAGTGCTACCAGGAACAACCAGAATGGACGAATGATCTTGCTTCGGCCGTCCGGACGACGTTCAAGAGCCTCCCGCGAGAAGAGACACTCAAGGACATCTTGACCAATGGCAGCCAAGAGCCTGTCGCTAACCTCCAGCACATTGTAGATAACGTATAACTTGATAGCAGCCTGTCCACGAATCCAGTGGTACATTCGACTTGCATCAAAGTACATCAAAACACAGCATGTGGCTATCATCAGCAGGCCTGTTAGGATGTCCGCTTTGTCGTCTGGAAGTAGCGCTGAGGGCATCGACTTCTTCCGCCGATGGTGGTGTTTGCGGGATTCGGAGGGTCGATGTTTCCTTCTTGGACCCATGTCTGGCCCCGCAGAGGAGCCCTGAGGCAGGTGAGGAGTTGCGTCAGATTCGCTTTCGCGTCTTCCACGCTGCTCCTCCTTCACAATATGATTCCTCCTGCGCCATACTCGACCAATCCCATTCATCACAAACTTCCAAATGAACCGGATCTCAGCTCCTAGATTCATCACCCATGACCCTCCCAAGATATAAACAGCTTTAATAAACCGCAGTGGCATTATCGTGAAAGAGTAAAGCCATGCATCAAGGCAAGCAAGACTCCCAAAGCAAAGTACCTGCTCAAGCATAGGTGCAAGCATAATGAAGTTCATGAGTCTCTCGATCTTCACTCGTGATGATTCATAAGGAAAGTCATTAGCTGCGTCACAGTGAATGTACAGTGGTGAAGGTCGACCAGACGCAAGCTCAAGCTGAAGATAGGTTGGCAGAGAAACTGGCGGCAAGGGGATAGATGATGGCAAGGGTGAAGAATTAGGCGATTCTATAATCTGAGGTGATGCAATAAGGTGGCTCTTCAACTCGCGGTCCAGCGCAGGTCGGTCCTGTCTCGAGCGCGATGCCCATGTCTGGGTTAGACGGTCATTGCCTGGAGTGATGGGCAATTGACGCCGCATGTAACCAGGGGTGGAAACAGTTCGAGCTGCCTGCGGCCGATTTCTGAGGGAGGAATTTTGAGTATTTCGTGGGAAGGCTGGACTCGCGGGTGCAGAAGCATCTCCCAATAACACCTCTTTAGTGGGCCGCAACTTTGGCAAAACGTCCGCGGGCGATGGATTTTCGCTCAGTGACTGAAGTACAAACTCCGGTATCTCCGGTTGTGCGAGAGATGCATTCCCATGGACGTTGTCCGAGACTACTCGCCTTCCAGTGTTCGTTTCTGACTCCACGGGGCGGTAAGGTATTGAGTCTGAGGAGGATGTGAGCTCCTGGATCTTCACAGGAGATAACTTCATGACCTTCTCTTTATCTGGTGGTAGTTGGTGAGAGAGATCGGTCGACATATCAGCCAAAGCAGCCATGGCCTTGGGGCCATCGTACACATCCACCACCGACAACTGGCCAAGATTATCTCCGTTGTTCGGTGGATGCTCAACTAGAATCCCAAGCCCCTGCTCGCGTTCCATATTGGCCAGCTTATATCCTCCATTGGCAAGGTCCTGTGCCGAAGTTGTATCGTGCTTCTGTTGCCCATTTGTGCCATCGTCTCCGTTGGTTGGCCATTGATCAGCCTCGCCGTTGGACTGTGTCATAATAGTCTCTGCTTGACTGCATTTCCCCTCGACAGAATTGGACAAGGATTGTTTCTCAACCTTCGAGCTCCCATTGGTCCCGTTTGCGATACCATGTTCGGTCATCTTCCGCTGTGACGGAGCTTGACTGGTATCTACGGCAGGGCTCATCCTGACGAATCAGAAATTCGCGACAGTCCAATACGTCCCTTGAAAATATCCACAAGCTTTCAGTATCGCCACTCATATCATCAAAAAGCGCAGATAACCAGCATGCATCGTTTGAAGTTGGGTCGCGACGGGTGATCAACTATGTTCGAAGGTGAAGAAGCGTAAAGAAAAAGCATAGGAAGGTAATAGCGATGTAGTTTATTGTATTAACAAAGGCATTCGTCCAGCTGGTACATCCTCAAAAAAAAAAAGGCACAGTCTGGGCTGTTCGGCGTACTTATTGATGTAAGTGTCTGGGGAAAGATAAGGATGGCAGATTATCTGGCCAGTCGGTGAGTCGGACATTCGCGTCATCGAATGCCTTAGGCATGGAGACTGAGTCACGTGCTTCAAAAATAGGGGGTTGATCCCCACCCGATGGAGAATGTCAAACGGTAGATAACTTCATATTAATTTGGTCTCCAACCGAAGACGATGGCTGCATCAGCGATCTACGCTGGGTGTGGTTCCTTATTGTAAAGGTCATGGCTCAACATTACTGGCGAATGATGTACCCAATACCAGTTTAGATTGAAAATGAACGGCCAGAAACGACATATATTCATGATATATATCACGAAGCGTTAAACCGGGCAGGTTCTCACTCAGGGTCTTCCCCATGGAGTAACTCACAGCACAGGGTAACGACTAATAAATTGTAATCAGTAAACAGTCTGATGGTACTCAGTGATGCTCAAGATATGCGCAATCAGCACCCAACCTATCTATAACCGGTGCTCAATAGCCGAATACCATGGGGCTAGACGGCCCGAAGGATTCGCACTAGGCTGCTATAGGGCGTATCGTGATATCGTAAGGATAAGATGAACGACAAGCTCATCCGCTAGTCCCTCGTAGCACTAAGCAGGGGTCAATTCCATGTCACTAACATTAATGGTCAGTCATCTTGAGGTCCTGATTTCAAAGCATCCGTGGAAGAGCACATAAGCATTAGAAATCGCCTATAGAGCTACACCTCAACACCTCCCATACTTAGTATAGATATATAGAGGCGGCTGTGAACATGAAGCTAGATCCACATTCTCTCTCCATCCAATTCATCAAGTCTATTGATCCAATTGCAGCCCTACCAGATACGAGCCCTACTCGAATCATTCTATTATCTATCCCCCTGCCATGACTATTTCCGACAACCCTGTGGTTCTAGTTACCGGCGCTAGTCGAGGCAAGTCCTGCTTAGTCTTATTGGGCTCGAGTTGACGGAAGATAGGAATCGGACGGACGTTGGTAGAAACCTTCCTACTCCGGCCTAAGCACACTGTTATTGCCAGTGTCCGCGACACAGCTGCAGACTATGTCAAGGAGCTAGAAGCCTTGCCCAAGGCTGATGGCGCGCGTCTACAGCTAGTAAAAATTGAAAGCAGCAACTCGGCCGACCCGACGGCGGCCATCAAGGATCTCACAGATATTGACCACATCGATGTCGTGGTAGCTAATGCCGGCGGAGCCGGTGAAAAAGGGATCATCCCCCTGGACGTGGTGAGCTCCGAGATTGTGACTGACGTATTTACCGTAAATGCCCTCGGCCCCCTGGCCCTGTACCAGGCTGTCAAGCCTTTGCTGGAGAAGTCCCAGGCCCCCAAGTGGGTGTCTGTCACCAGTGCTGCCGGTTCGATTGGCCGACTTGAGCTTCATAGGGCTCACGTCGCTCCGGCATACGGAATCGCCAAGGCAGGTTTGAACTGGATCACTACGTAAGATTGTGTCAGCTTTAGCCTACTATGGCTGGGAAAATAATCGGCTAACTCCGGCGGATGTGCAGTGCCATCCATAGTGCCAACAAGGGCTTCATCGCCTTTTCTGTGCATCCCGGGTAAGTCCCCAGAGACACCATTTGGATGGGAGATCTCGGGCAGCAGCTGATCATCTGGCAGCCTCGTGCAAACGGAGAGCGGTAACAGGGCTGCTCGCGGGATGGGCCTTCCCCAGGCTCCCAACTCCCAGCGCCAGAGTATCGATGCTATTCTGGGCCTGGTACGTGATACCCTTCCCTATCTTGAAGGATTAAGGATGAAGAATGACTCGATCAGATTGATAATGCGACCCGAGAGACTACCTCCGGCAAGTTCTTCAACGTCATCGATGGCACGGAGATCGCGTGGTAGAGGCCGCCACAGCCTCGCTCTATCTGAAATGCCTAGTAGCATGCCGTCAATAAGCTGCAGGATTGATAGAACATGTACCCTGCTTTGTGGTGCTTATCTCTTTCACCTATGCGAAGGTTGATAGCGAACATTAGTATTCTCTTACAGCTCTTCTATTGATATAACCCCTTTCTTCACTACCACCCTTTCAATTCTAGAATCGTAATAATCCTCTCAATACAGAAGGGTATCTTTTCAATCTAAGCCTGGATATGGTGCCCAGGTACTTTCATGCCATGCTTTCTCCTAACCAGAAACCCGCCGATTTTATCATATTGAGATCGGGTAGGTTCAAGAGGAGTAGTTAGGAAAGGAGATTAATCGAACAGTTCTAATAGAGGGGAGCAAAAGAACTACACACTGGCATTGCCAACCCCAATGGTTTGTTATTCCAAAAGGCTTTTGCGACCTCCGTAGACTGTCTATTATGAGAAAACTTGAATGAGTGTGTCGACGTCTGAAGTTCTTTGCCATCGGGTGTTTACCCTAGTATTTAGTACATGTAGTCTTCCTCTCTTTCTCGTCCCTATATATTTTTCCCAGTTGATTGATACCCGTGGATTTTGTTATTGCATTTCCTCTGTATTGTGTATCTTCGTCGGGTTCTAAAGTTTCTCTAGTCATTAACAGGCCCACCTCTTTCCGTTCCTACATATTAAGGAGATAGCATGCCCAAACAAGTAGTGCTTTGCCGGTAGAAGCTCGGGTGTTCTGCCACCCAAGTCCAGTTCCAGACTACCACCTAGAATGCCATATTTCCTGCACCGTTTTACTGTACAAACCAGAACTAGGGCTTTTCATAAGCCAACTAAACGTGCAGTCATATCATTTCAGATTCGCATATCAATCATGCCTATCATGTACGTACTCCATAACTATAATGCATATACGCTATCATCAGATATACGTCAGGTGACAAGCCAAAACAGTATGTGCCTCAATCCTAAAGCCACTAGATCTACCAGTAGCCAGGGAAAAGCCAGTCCAGCTTCTCCTTAGCTTCGGGCTTCCAGTTAGTCTGAGGGGTGCTAATACCGAACTTGATACCACCAGCCAGGTGCTTAGCCTGGATCAGCTCGGCGTGCTTCTCGCTAGCCAGGGCATCAAGGACAGCAGTCACGAAACGGCGAGCGTTCTCAGCATTAGACTTCATGTTGCCCATGACCATCTCGACGGTCACGTCGGCGGTGGCCTCGTGCCAGCAGTCGTAGTCAGTGGACATGCAAATCATCTGGTAAGCGATCTCGGCCTCGCGGGCCAGCTTGGCCTCGGGAAGGGCAGACATGTTGATAACGCTGCCGCCCCATGAGCGGTACATGTTGCTCTCGGCGCGAGTGGAGAACTGGGGACCCTCTGAGTAGTGTACAAGACATGGTTAGCGATATTTCGTCATGGGGATGGATTACAGCTTCACATACCCATGCAGATCAGAGTACCACGGTCGTGCAGGACGACACCATCACCCTCGAGGCTGTGTCCGCACTCACGCACCACCTTGGCGATACCCTCATCGAAGGGGTCACCGAAGGGGACGTGAGCGACGATGCCACCCTCGAAGAAAGTCCACGGGCGCACGCCCTTGGTGCGGTCAATGACCTGGTCGGGGATGACAAAGTCACGGGGCTTGATATCCTCCTGCAGACTGCCGACGGCAGAGAAGGCAATAATGCTGCGGACACCGATGGAGCGTAGAGCGGCGATGTTGGCGCGAGCGGGAACCTCATGGGGAGCGATCTGGTGGTGCAAGCCGTGGCGGCTCAAGAAAGCGACGGCGACAACCTTGTTGTTGTGCTTACACTCGTGGTGCAGGATAGTGATGGGGGAGGAAGGGGCGCCCCAGGGGGTTGTGACATTCAGCAAAGCCACCTGGGTGAAGCCAGGCAACTCGCGCAGACCGGTGCCGCCGATGACAGCAATTGGGACGGGCCCTATTAGATTCACTATCGTCAGCTTTTTATCGAAGTGGGGGTGTGAGGGGTAGTGATGTGAGAGGCGGAAGCACACGTACCGTCGTATGTGGTAGGGAGAGAAGCCATTCTGCGAGCGAGTTGTTTTGCGGACTCAATTCGACGAAATGGTTTTGATATAGAAGAGAATGAACGTAAGCCTAAGATCCTGCGCATCTTGCGCCATCTTCCAATCTCTGAGGCTGCGGCCAGCCTGGTTTCTCCGATTGGTTGTCTACTGACCCACGTACTGCGGGTTCCTGAGGCCGCGACCTGCCTTTTTGGGCGATCTATAAAACTTTAAACCAATTCTCCATCCGCCTCTACATGTCTATCATCATAGTTAATTATTCGTTAGAAGAATCTGCAAGATTCTCTGGTGCACTCGGATACATGTACAATTTTGGGTACTAAATACAATTTGACGTGCTACACGATACAGAACCTGGAGTAATGCACTCGAACAATCTAAGCCGGCAACCACTCATAATGATGAGGACCCTTGTGAACTGGTCCTGGATCCTCGCCTGGAAGACCAGGCTTGTTGTAGTTGTGTGCACCGAAATAGTCCATTTGCGCCTCCATGAACTTGGTCGGCAGTCCCAATCCACCCTCATACTTCAGATATTCTAGTGTAGCTGAGAGAGCTGGAATATATTGATCAAACTTGGTCCCTTCCATGACAACCTGCTTGAGACTGTGGAAGTTCTGATGCAACTCATGCGCAACCGCATCCACAAACTTGGTGTTCGTCAGCTCGTTCTGGACTGCGAGTGGCGGCTGCAGTAGATCCGCGATGTGATCAGACTTGATGATACATCCCGCTCGCCAGATCTGCAAACAGTCACCCAAGTTGATGTTCCAGCCTTCGTCTATTGAGGCTCGTGAAATCAGCTCCAGGCCCTGGCAGAAAGATGCCAGGAAGGAACCGTACACAGCTTGTCGTAGATTCTCGATGATCGCTTTGTGGTCCCGGGTTCCCTCGATCGGTTTCGGGATGGGCATTCCCAGCTTCTTTGCAGCACGTGCTCGTTCTGTACGGTTTCCACTTGAGATTCGCATGTAATGGGCGGCCGCTAACGTCGGACAAGAGACATGTCGGGCGGCAGACTCCATGAGACACCAGAGTGGAGTACCTTCAGTGCCGTCGTCATCTTGAACCACCTTGTCAAGCACATCATCGAGCACGTATCCATCATCCCGGCTGGCTCCCTCGCCTTTACTGTCACCTTTGGGTGTTCTCCGCGTGTGTAAAATGTTCGCGCCGATGTTAACCAGGAAGTTGCCTCGCAACTCGCCAGACTCATTCCATTTATCGAAGACATCTCCGATTTTGCCATGATCCATTTCAAGTCCCTCGTGCATGTATTGCCATGTTTCAGCAAGAACAGAAAGCATTCCACCCTCGATGCCATTGTGAACCATCTTGATGTAGTGTCCCGATCCACCGGGGCCCATGCGCTTCACGCACGGAGTTCCAGATTTGGGATCTTGAGCCGCATACGACTCCAAAAACGGCATAACACGCTCGATGGCTTTAGCATCTCCACTAGGAGAGAGACTGGGTCCCCGTCGCGCAGACTGATATCCACCCGAAACGCCCATTCCGATCCAGCTGACACCGATGGCAGCACACTCTTTCTGGCGCCGCTCGGTGTTCCGGTAGTTCTCGTTTCCGCCGTCGAGGATGATATCGCCCTCTTTCAGATCGGGTTTGAGCATGCGGAGTACTTCGTCTGCGGGCGCACCGTGCGTGATGGAGAACATGAATAGTTTCCGGTCGGACTTGCCCTCCAGGCTCTTGGCGAATTGATTGATGTCATAAAAGCCTTGAACTCGGCCTGTGATGCTCTTATCATCTCTTGCGTAATTCACCACTTCATCGACGTTCTTCCTTTCTATATCCCAGACTGAGACTAGGAGGCCGAGCTCGGCGAATCGGAGGGTCATCATAGAGCCCATGTTTCCGGCTCCGACGACACCGATGCTTTTGATGGGGGGCGGCATTGTGGATTGGTGTTGATTCTGTAAGGCTAGCTAATTCAGGGGTCGCAATTGAAAGTTCAAGTGCAAAATATGCGCGAGATGTTAGCATGAAGGTGTTTGGGACGACTTTCCCTCTTCTTGAACGAGAAGCTTGTGGCAATCGGATCTATGATCCGGGGCATTGTCAATATGCAATCAGACATGCCACGAGCCAGTCGGCTGGGTGTGGCTCTTCTTGCCTACATACCATTGTTAGGCAGAAGAGGCAAGTGAGGCAAGTTGAGGCAAAAGTCATTGTTGTAGTGTCTATGAAAGCCTCAAATTGTGGCCAAGCTCAATATGGGCTGATATGATGCATTTCTGACGATACAAGCCCTAACCAAGAGCACTTACATCACGGTGGGCACAGAGCGAAGAAGGAATGGGGGAAACAGAAACAAATGAGGCAAATATATACTTAATGGTACCAAGTATGGCAATCTTTCATAAAAGCTCTCCTTCCGTACGTCCAGTGAATTGTGTATTTTCGCCAGTATCAACATTCCCCAATATAATCACGAAACACAAGAACCACTTTGCTTGACCCGTTCCAAAGGGAGAAGAAACAAAATGACAATCCCCCACTCAAGCCTCCAAAATGTCCCCCTCTCATACGCTTCCTGCTCAATCGGCTGCAGCCCAACCGACACACTGCCACTCCGACTCCGAGCAATCAGCGAAGCAGGCTTCAGCGCAATTGAGCTCTCATTCCCAGACATCCTAGAGTACGGTGCCCAAATCACCGGTAGCGCAATCGCACCGGACAACTATGTCGCGATTATGCCCGTGGCCGTGGAGATCCGCAAACTATGCGAAGAACACAAATTGAAAATCATGATGCTGCAGCCATTCGCAAACTTTGAAGGCTGGGTCAAGGGCTCTGTGGATCGTGAGGAGGCATTTGCCAGAGCGATAGGCTGGATGGAGATTATGAATATCGTCGGTACGGATTTGTTGCAGGTAGGACCACAATATATATGTTGAACATTC